TTTTTCATAGATGAAGTTGAAGATTTGTTAGAAGTAATTGAATTATCAAGTGAGACCAAGTAGATCATTAGAATAAATTAGCGATTCTTATGCAACGTAAAAGAAATATAAAATGAAATTGGAATGATAGATAATTTTTTATAATGGTTTTTCTGCAATACGACTTTCGAAATGGTCACATTCCAATTACAAATTATGTACATTACGCAGAAGATATTTCTATTTTCAAATAGAAAAACCTTACATAATACCCAGATTCTTAATAAGTGGTGTATTCATAAGTTAAATGTTGAATAGAATTAAAGGAATTATATATAATAATAATCCTTTTATCAGCGATGTTTCTGTAATGCGACATTCTTATCATTTGCATTCCATTCTTCGTAGCAACTTTATCAGTGCATGAACATGCAACAATTCATTTCTTTCTTTTCGCCTCACTTTGCATTGCATTAAACATAAGACGACTATAAAACATCGCCGCCTACATGTACTCCCATTCGCTTATCTGCTGTGCGTTAATTAACAATTATGTATTAATAACCCAGAGGTAAGATACTTTATTATTATTTCCTTATGGCGGTTCGTTGAATTGCTTCAAGCAACGTACAAAAAATGCAAATGTAATTATTACCAATGAATTGAATTGACAAAGGTAGTAGTAGTAGCAGTGAATTACGATCGTCTCTCGAAGTTGTTTACGTGAAACTTTTAGATATTTTCTGTTTCGTTAAAGTTTATTCGCAAAACAAGTTGTCTCCTTTTCTGTCTGTCTGTCTGTAAGCGTGCGTGTGTTTATATATATTTATGGTTTGTAGAAACGGCACTTATCGAACTGCTGTTGTTCCACGGAATTGCCAATTGTTCACTTGATGTGTACAGGTTCTCCGTTATTAAACTCATTTTTGTTTAGTATAATAAACGGCTTTGCGTTTCTTCTTTTCTTTTCCTGTTTGACAATTATTCTGTGCGGAAATAATGTAAAAATTACACAGCAATACCTCGTACAGTGAAACCGGACTAATCAACAACATACAAAAATCAACAACGTATAAACAAATAATTTTCTGCACTAATTTTGTAGAATTTTTACTAAATTTCGGATTAATTTGAAATAAAATAGAGTTGTTTTTGTTCAATTTCTTAATTCTGTTTTTAGAGTATATTAATATAGAGTATATTAATATAGAGTATATTAATATAGTTTAATTAAATTGGAATTGTTGAGTTGATTGACATGTGTTTCCTTTTAATTTGTTTTTCTTCAGAAATAACGTGAATATTACCAAAACTATGCAAATTAACAACATTTGTCACCATGTCAAATTTAACTTATTCTCAACAATTTGTGCAAATCGGAATTGGAGTGCTAATTGAATTTGGGTTAGTTTATAATATGTGTACATGTAAACTTTGTTATTATTACCGAAAACATGTAAATTTTTACAGTTTGCAAGACAAATTGCTGAGTCCTTGTAATATAGTGTTCGAAAAGATTGTATTATACGTTTCAAGAAGCAGCGATTTTTTGGGGAAAATGTAACATTTCTTAACTTTTAAACCTAGTTTATTTCGACAATCAAATGTTGGTTGTTGAAACGTTTGGGTGTGCGAAAGTGCTCTTTCAGTGTTGATGCCGGCATTAGTTTGAAATACCCATTGGAGAGATGAAAAACGTGTTGATTTACGATGCGGTTTTGGTTTAATTTTTCGAAAAGTGAACCGGCGTAAATAATTGTAGCAGTCGTACACACTGTTTTTGGGTTTTGGGAGGACAAAGTAAGCTCGCCTGGGACACGAACCACCCCTCCGCGGCAGTGTAATGGACTAAAGCCACTAACGTGATTCAATGCTCCACACCGAGAATTCTACTGTGGCTATAGCTTTGCAAGCAAATACGGCCCATTTATGTTTATGTTCATAGCGTTAAATACATACCCAAAGCACACGGGCCGAATGAAGCGTTCACCTCAAGTCTACCAACACCAACACCTGGATGATTTAGGAGCAATAACTTTGTGCGGATGCGACACTAAACTTGCGATGAAGAAACGCTCTATAGCCTTCATTAAACCCAACAAATCACCGAATTTCAACCACCCCAACGTCGAAATCTACATTTCCGTGTGATATCATTCTTTGTACGCCCATAAAATTCTATAATGTTCTTTCGCAAGAAAAAAAGGGCTTTCGGTGACACAACGAAAATAATATCTATACATTAAGAACATACAATAAAAAGGGACGAAAAAGGCTTCCTTTCAAATTTTAAAAACATTATTTATAGCGCCCTTTCATAAATTTATGATACATAAAGTACAAAAATATGCGACGTTTTCTCTTCCAAACAAATGAAATATTACAAAATTACTTATACAAATCATGAGAAATTATTGATGATTTAGTTTAGGGAAATTAAGTGTGAAAACTAGAATTATTAGCATGGATCTGGGAGGACGAATGAAGAGTGCAGCTAATTTAATTCCGTTAATAAAATTTAATATCCGTTCTACGTTTTCGACGGCCCTAACGCATTTATCGTTCGTATTCTGCAATTTATCAAACGTATTTAATAGCATTTGCCGAATACGCGTACGGCGGCTGCAATAAAATCACGTAATTTATGTACACGTATTAATTACAATTTAAGTTGACTCATATGTGGCGCCGCCGCCGCGTTTAAAAAAAAAGATTATTAGTAAACGTGAATATTCGAAATTTACGAAGCTTACAAATTTATTGTTATGACTGTTTTGTGTGTGTGTGTTATCATTATGTCTTGTCTATAATTAATTTCAACTAAGTTAACTTAATCTACTTTAGATTAGCAACAGTTGAGATTTAGAATAATTTAGTTGGATAATCTTTGTTTCAATTCTGGTTTTGTTGAAATACACCGAAGTTGTGAATCTATTTGAAGAAAGTGCTGAAATTTTCTATTCATTAATTAATTCGTAAAAAACGTAAGAAAACTACTTTTATTTGACAATAATTTTTGATGAGATTAATTAAAATGTAAAATTTTACATTCTGAGTAAAATGTGTAAATCAAAAAAACGCATAATTTCATTTTTATTAATTATGAATTTTTTTCAATTTTTTTGTTAAAGGTACATTTTGTTTTTCATATTTCAATTGAAACTGGATTTGCAGTGAAAAAAAATATATTTTAAACTTTGTTAACTTCGTAGATTGAAATACACAAAAAAACGTACCGGAATTTGGAAATGTGAATGCTGATGATGGAACTATATTCTCATCTATACTTCATCATCGCTCGAAAATAAAAAAAAAATATATGTTATGATGCTAATTGGTGAAAAGCTGGTAAAGCCACCACCACCATCGTTCGGGGGATTCGGATCAAAAATAACGCGAGCGCATTCATTTGTGGATGATCAAAGCCGGCGGGAAATGAAACTCGATGTTCAAATATTTTTTTCTGTGTGTGTGTTAGAGAGTTCTGTTTGGTGCAGATAAAAGCGCGTTATCTATGTGCATTCGAGACAACATAATATAGTTACGTAACAAAAAAGAAACAACAAGAGTGTTGAAAATAGATATAGTCGATAATTTTTGTAATGTTGCAAATATTTTTTTGCATTTCAATTTTTTTCGAAATTTATTTGTTTTAAATGGAAATAATGACTTAAATTTGAATGTTAATTTATTTGAAGTACTTCATTTGTTTGATCTTAATTGAAGACTTTTGATTGGATGAGAGCATTAGGTTGTAGTGCACACGTGTAGCGAATGAGGGTCGGTTTGAAGCGGCAGACAGTGAATTCGCTTTGTGTGTGTTTGCTTGTACACACGTGAAACAATAGATTGCGTTGGTCCCGAGCTTAAGTAACAAGTAGCGAGACATTGCATAAACCGCATTGCAGGCGGTCTGATAAGGGTGATGGTTTGCATTGTGATGCTGCTGCTGCTGCACAGTAGAGTTTCCCCCCCATCCAGCTAAGGGGGCAATTTCCACCTTAAGGGACTGACGAATAAACGAAAATTGTAAAGTGTTTCCATTTGGAAACTTTGGCGTGCGTCCTAATCGTAATTTCATTGAGACTGTTGTTCTGGTAATTGCGTGATTTAAAAGTCCCGCCTTGGCGGAGAAGAAGCAATCAATATGTATTCAAACTAACAACAACAATAATAATTAGAGTGAAGACATGTAGATACAAGAATAATCAAGTATATTAAGTATTAATTTCTGTTATTTTGAATAAGAAGTATAAAATGTAATGTGTAATGAAGTATAGAGATAACTAACAATAACTATGTTTTTCTTACAAGAATCTCTTAAGAATCTTACTAATTCAATTTAATAAATAAAATAAGAATCGAAAGTCTAGTGACTTGACTGTAGCCAATCTAAACTATCCTGATTCACTTATTATCAATCAAATTTGACACAAGTACTTAAAAATATGCTTATAAAAATAAGTTTCTTTAATTGAATATAATGGACATGCCTCAAATCAGTAATGTTAATAATATTTTTTTTTTCTCTTTCCACATTTGAATGGTATTGTATGCATTGACTAGATCCGGCCACCCTCTTCGGTCCCATTGGAATACAATATTAATGCATTCCCTCCATCCCCAAAAACCCCTCTTTCCCTATATATATACATATATATTCTAGCATGTTTCCATCGCCACGGCGACCGGGATAAATCATCCCCCGCGCGCGTCTCGTGCAAAACTAATACGTTTATGTCTCTTGCGCCAAAACCGTCCGCACTCCTCGCGCGCCCCCTCGACGAAATTGTTGGCACGCGTTCGTGTGTCCTCATGCCGAATCAATATCGCGGCGTTTTCTTTCGACGAAATGATTCCCGAAGAGCAGGCAATAGTAGCAGCAGCAAACACACACACACATTTAAAACAAACAGGCTTCAATCGTTTTCTTTTAAGCTTTCCGCTTTTCTATGCATCATCATCATCACCATCATCGTCATCATAACCATTTGGTGTTTTAATGATCGAATCCTTTAAAGGTGTTTGAAGTTGGTGGTTGTTGGTGGTGGACTAGAGGAGAAGGAGATGTGATTCGGCGATGGCCGGATGCAGTGGAAGAGCCGAAGGCGGCAAAGATGGTCTGGGATGGGCGAGGCGACGGCCCCACAGCTGGCACTGTTCCATCGAGGGCGCTGCTTACCATTCTCCTCCACCCCCGATGGACAGACGGCCGCATGGTAATTTGGTTATGACAGGGAAAGAAGAAGCGACGTCGATTAGACTTGAGTTATACGATATGTTTCGGTAGGGCCCCCCCTATTGGTTGGATGCTGCAATCCAGCCAAGATCCTCCGCCCATCTGGAAATCGTTTAATTATTGAACGAACTAATAAATTTCGCGCGTTTACCTTTGCTTTTTTTGTTTTGTTCATGTTACCCTCGTCATACGCAGCATGACTCATACAGAAAAACGCGTAGGGGAGAGTTTGCGTATTTTCCTTAACACGATTATAATTGATTTATTATACAACAAAAATACACATATTCAATTTACTTTCAAAAAGGAAACAAATAGATTATTCTAATTATTACTAATTAGTAATGACTGCTATAGACCATAGATTTTTTTCTCAATCGTTCAAAATATAATAATCAATCTGCAAACAAAACTTAAAGATAAGATTCAAAAAACAATTATTTAAATTGGCGTGTTGTAAAATGCACAACTTTTTACTCAACGATAAGATAACTATGAATTTGGTTTCTTTTTGTTGTTGTTGTTATTGTAATTATTACAAAACGCAACATTTTTCTAATTTTCAAATTAATTTATAACATATCACGTTTATAGGGAATGTATACATGATTTAATTATTTAGATATTAAAGATAAGATTAAAACAAGGAAAATTTAAGTGCAATATTTGGTTTTAATTTGTTTTGATTTATTCATTTTTTTAATTGAATTGAAATTTTACTTTCATTGTTATATGTACTAAATGCATATGTGAAATGTAGTTTCATAACGCTTACGCGATATTTATGAAAGCAATAAATAAAGCGGGGATACACCTATTTTAATTGAGGCCATTAATTACAGATAAGATTTGAAATATGCAAATGTTTTCGTTTTGTTTTGTTTGTTTTTGATGTTGTTCTTGCATGCATATGATATTGTAATACGTTGCATATGCAGAAAGCTTTTTCATTGATGCTATTTATAGAATCTAATTTTGTTAGTTTCATTATTGCAATGAACTGAAAGGAAGTTCGTATATGTAATATACATTTTCTTGGGAATAATATTGTATATTTTTGTAAGGTAAAGATTGAGAATTTTCAATAAGTATTCGATGCAACTGGAATTTAATTTATTTAAATAATAAACACGATTTCAATGAAATTACCTACTCTGTTTTGTTTAACTAAAAAAGAAAGAAAATTGTAACGTTGGAAACGCAAAAGTATATTTATGTGACTCGTTACCACCCGCAGCTGAATTCTCTCTCTCCGACAACAAATCGGAGCGGGCGGCGATTCCAGAGCCTCTGTTTACAAAACAAATTAGTAACGAAATTAAATTAGATTCATTCGAATCCTCCGATGGATTCGATTCGCGTTTTCGTGTTTTTTTTTTCTTCTTCGTTTTGTAACCGACACGAAATTAAATTACATTTTCGTTGGCGCGCTGCTCTAGTTTTCATTTTTTTTTCATAGCGTTTACAAAACAGAATAAATAACATAAAGCCGACTTGGATAATCGATGATATTTTTTTGTTTGTTTGTTTAAGACATAATTTTATTTGATTTAACTAACGAGATTCTGTTGTTCGGATTTGTTCCCAACTTTTCCATAATAAATAAACGAAATAATAAGTTTTAATTACTTTCAGTTCGATTAAAATTATTTCAAAGTAAAAATAATTACAATTTATACAAAATTTAATATTTTTAAATATATTTAATTAAAAAATGGTAAAATAAAGTAGATTTTTTCTCTAATTCCAGTAATTTTCTATGCTTTATATCTCTTTTTTGAACGATTTTTATTTATTCTTGTAAAATTATAACTAAATGAAAATTAATGGAAAAATAATAAATATTAGAAACTTTCTAAAAATAATACTTTTTTATTGGTTGTTAAGATTGTATAGGTATAAAGATAGCTTGTCAATTTTGATATACAAACAAATTTATGTGTAATATCTGTGTAACTTTAGTAAAAATTAATGGTAATAAGCGATATTCATTTAAATCCAATTCCTTGTTCTTTTCGTTCTTAATGCGAATGGAAGGAATTTAATAAAGCTCCAAATTGATATCCCCGAGGGTTCCGAAATTGAAATGAAAATTCGATTAGAAGAGCGATTTTTTTCGCCTCCTCCTTCTGCGCAATTGGAAATGAAATATCCTTCTTTCGCCTCGAACCCAGTCCGACTTTCTCTATATATAAGTCGTCCCTTTTATTCTTCCTCCTCCATTCGTCCTTTTCAATCATTCCGTTGTCCTGCGTAAGGAGAGGAGGAGAGGCGAAAGTTCAAAGCTGTTCCCGTCAGACGCTAATAATGATTTGAATTTTAGCGCCGCGGCAATTCCGCATTAAATTCGATGCTTCCTCAGAGACGTCGATAGAGGAAGCGTCGCGACGTCGGCGTCGGCATTTCCCCCGCAATCTTCCGGTCCAGAGAGTAATGTATATACTTATATATAAAGAGAGATTCGGCCACCGTTTCCAACTTCTATCTTAACTGCACAATCGGATCGCAGAAAACGTTAAAGAACGGAAACTGCTGTTCAAGGATAAGAGAGAAAATACATAAATCCAAACATTAATCAATGCTGATTAAGTTCAACTATTTGTTTGGGTTTCGGCTATTTCTGGCGGAAGCTTATTTTAGATTTTAAATTGACTTTTTTATTTATTTGTTTTTCATTTACTACCAGAGAAGTTGACGTGTTTCCTGGCACACTTATTGATTTTGTCTGATCGATTTATGCCACGCATCGAAGCTCACATTTAAAATATTCAACGAGATCAAATGTGAAAAAAAATAACACGTCGATCATTATTTTTCATGCTGAAAAGTTTTGTTAACTAGGAAACTCACTCTTTTTTTGTTTTTGCGAATGCATGAAAGATGCGTGTATGCAAAACAATCTCGTGTGTTTCGTGCAAATTCAATGCAATGTTTTTTGTTTTTGTTTTGTTTCTTTCGTCTTTGCACACTGTTTTTAATGATTTAATCAATAGGCCGCCCTTTCCTCGTCTCAAAAGTACTTAAATTCAAGAGTTGTGAGTAAAGTTGCGAACTTATTTATTTTTTCCTCTTTCTCTCTCTTATTATTTCAATTAATTTGAAAACGCGCACAAGTAGTGTAACATGGAATATAACATATAACACACACACTTATACACATTGCGCTCTGCACTCTGAATAATAGATTCAATGGACAGATATAACCTACTCGGCTATATTTAACCAGCCACAATGGCCATTCGTTATGTTCCCGCGCACCCCTTCTCGTTTTCTATATTTAATGCGAACGGTCTAATTATAGATAGGCGTTTTAAACGTGCTCTACGTACGAGGATAAATCAACCTGTTGTGTGTGAGTGTGAGAGGGTTTGGTTTTTTTCCCCAAAAAAGATGTTGCTGCGCCCCAAAAACTTTCGTTGCTAATAGTACTTTATTATGTGTTTGTGTTTGCAGGAAGCGGAAGAATGGACGGGCAACGCGCTTTGGACTTGATGCCTTTACTGCAGGAGAGGCTTGTTATATTAACGGGCGGCAGGGACAGACGGGGTGGGCCAGTCCTGTCTTTTCCTGCGAGCCCACGACGGGAAAGGGCCAAACCGGAAGACTACAAACGCCTCCTGCAATACCTCATGGCAATACCAAAGTAAGTTTTAATCCTTCCAATTGATTTATCGTACCCCTCCCTTGTCTCTCTCAAGACTTATGACATTAATTTAGTCAACTAATTATGATTTATAACAGTATTAACACCTACACAATTGATTAATTGTTAAATTTGATTACAAAAGTTTAATAATTATAAACAATCAAATTTCAACAATAAAAAGAGCTCAACTATAACAAGAAGAAATTTAGATTTAGTCATTTAGATTGAGAATTCACAGTATAAAAATTGTGCAATTTAGCAGTTTTCTTACTTTTTTTTTATAATCTGGCTAGTTGAAAATACCCGATTTATGAGCAGAGTGTGTAGCAGTTTGGAGTTTTTTTTGTATACAGCCGGAAACTTTGTAATTTATATGTATATATTGTTGGGGGATTTCGTTCGAATCGCGGAAACGAATTTAATGGCGGTTTATTTGTGTGCGGAACGTGGCGCATTTTAAATTTTTCGTAATTGCATGGAATTGGGAACAGCGGAGAGGACGCAGCTTGCTTGCTGGCTGCAAAAGCCATATCGTTTTCGCTGTTAAATGCATTCACTTTGCGGTTCTATCTCCTCCAACACAGCCTCACATTTTTCACAATGTTTATCCAATGCTGTTCAGTTAATTGGTTTCCATTCGAATTTATTATTTTGCATACAATTACTACAAACTATGAGATTCGTTAGATCATTTGCAAAAAGTACTGCAATCATGAGAATGTAATAAAAAATAAACTTAAGTTTTCTAATAGGAAATATTCCGAAGCTTTTCACGTTCCATTTTATTGCTCCTGACCAAGTTCAATTTTTTCTTTTGATACTGCATAAAACTTTTCCTTGAGCGACTTTTTCTTTGTTTCATACATACACATATATATATATTTTATTTTTGTTCATTTCATTTTACTTTGCTGGAGTTTCCAAGTTCTGCAAATGAGAAGTTAATCCTGATCCCATTTTATTGCAAATATTTCGAAAGGAGCTTTCCGCGCGGAGTCAATAAAACGAGGAAGCTGTATATTTTTTTTGTTCCGCCTCAACTCTGCGGGAAACTTTCTCGTTTCATCCGCACGACGCGCCGTAAAGCTTCGGTGGTATCTATTTTTTTTTGTTCTTGTATTTCGACGCTTTAAGAGCGTGAGTGAAGAAGTGCAAACAAACGAGGAGAAAAATAAGTTGGCGGTGGTGGCGGCGCCGGGTGAGTTAGAAAAATCAATTAAAAAAAATATATTTATGTGGGGGGATCGATCGTAAGCGTTTTGTAGACGTAAAGAAAGAAATAAAAGTATATTGAGCGCGATTGGAATAAGGAATAATGTCTGGTAATTACGTTAATCTAGAGATGCGAAGCGGATTTCGTTTGGAAACGACAGGTAATAAAGTTTAATAACGGCGAAGGCATTTTTATTGAAGCTACCCCCGTATATTCTCACTCAAATGGGAAATGATTATATATTATTCTAGATCTTATAGCTTTTGCCTGACGTGAGATGTTAATGATAGTAAGTCGTATCAATTGGTTATCGCAAAAATTGATGAAACTGAAATATGCAATTACGTCTATGTTTGTTCGTAATCCTGAAACATTTGTGTCAGATATGATCAATGATTGAAGTATGCACACCGTGTGTGACTCATATTAGGAAAAGTGTGGATACAGCTTAATTCGCTGCACTAAATGTAGATATTCCGTGATGGAAGTAAATGGATTTACATTTTGTTCACTTTTTCTCCCGATTTATGAATAATGCAATGTTTCTTTGTCTGCTGCTTGGTTTTCTATTTTTCTTGGATGCATTTTTTTCATCAACATGGATGGATATATCTATCTGTGTGAATTGAATCATCGGAAATGGCATTCGTTTTTATCTTGCCTGCAGTCGTCGGCGCCGGCTCGGATGAATGGCCATTATTGCGTTCGAAGTATAAACCAAAACATATTCTGAATCATAAGACCGTCGTGTGTCCTCCGTCCATACATACATACATAGAAGAGAAGAGTGAGGTTTATTTAGAATATTACTCACTCGCTCCAAAAATATTACATACACACGAACACAAAGACGCGCAAAGGTTGGGCAAAAACGTAAATCCAGAAATATACATACAAACACACACACATAGAGCGCAAACACTTTGCTTCCTAAAACTAAAACTCGAGAGTGAAAAATCACATCTGACTGTTTGCATTCGCATTTATTGTATTAAGTGGGCTTAAAGTGGGTTTGAAATAAAATATAAAGTAAAAAGGCGAGAGAGAGAAACGGGTAAAGCGCATTTCTCTTGGATGAAATATGAACGTGTACGGTCGGTTTTCATGAATTTTTCAGGAGCTTTCCTTCCTCTACTCTACTCTTCTGAGCCCTTTTTTTTATAAATTAAATGGCAACCCGGCCGAAAGTAATTTCTCCCCGTAGCACAAACACACACACACGCACAACATACAAATTTCATTTGTCTAAAAGCTCGATTCGAGAATCTGTGGTAAATTGACCGGCAACAGCACGAGCTTACGATGGATTTCCTGAAAGCGCGAACATGTTTATTGAATAATAAGATAGCGGATTGATTCTGCACCCTTCGTTTTAGCTCTGCTTTCAGAGACCAAATTCAACTGGAAAACAAATCCAATAAAAGTCTTTCCGATTTCTTTACTTATATACGACTAGTATCCTTCAGTCATGATGTTTATGTTGCTTTTGTGTTTAAACTTATATCATTTACAGTTTTCAAAGTTTAATTACTATCCTCTACGCAGATTGTTTAACTTCTGGTTTAGGGTCCAAACCAAATACAGTTAATTTTAATTAATTAAATATTACTTCTCTATTCTTCAATTTACATTTGTTAAAAGATTACTCTGATTTGTTACAAGTTTAAAAAATAATGCGGTATTTTTCATTATTCAGCTGAATACGTTTGTAATTATGTAGCACTGTAATACAAGAGAGTGAGCGTGATTCATCGGCATCCTTTGTCGTTTTGAGAATGTCATTCGATTGAGACGTGTACAGTGCGAGGACGGAGGAGGAGGAGAGCCCTTCTATCATTGTTTGGGTCGAGGGATCAAAGTGGGCTTCTATAATCCTCGCGTTGCTAATTCGACGTGGCACCAGGGTGAGGGTGTTTCCCCCATCATTTACAAAACCCAAGTTCTAATTTGAGAACCGCAGATATTTATAGACGGCGGAGACAAACTGTTTCATTTCTTTCTCACGTGATGGATTTCGATTTATCGTCATTAAACAACCCCGTGCCACTTAAAATCCTCGTAAGGATTGATCACACGTCCGTATACTAAAAATAGTGAAGCTGGTTTATTGCTGTATCTCAGTGATATGTGAAAATATTTTGAATAAAATAATTAGTTTTGAATCTATGCAAATTGATGATCGAACTTAGTTCACTATTATCGTGTTTAACTTGGAACATCTGCCATAACTATTTGCAAACATCACAATTCAAGCGTAGTGTATACTTGTAGCCCTGTTATTATGAACTACAACGATGGCATTGTTTCCGTTTGCATTGATCCAAATAGCTTAACACCTGCAATACTCGTGTCAATTCAGGATGCAGAGTCCTGCGGCTACGCGAATGCCAGCCTTCCATCCTTCGACCTGTCTCCTTCCTTCTGCAGGAAACGAACGAAGCAACGTTTCGCGTCCCCTCACGCGCAATTTAATGCTAAATGTGCGCGTTCACCCTGCGGCTCCTGCAGGAATGTTTACTTAAAAATCCATCTGGATTCCATTACCGTACCGCGAGTACAAAGAATGTTTATATTAAAAAAATATATATTTTTCCGCCTTTTGTCCATCTCTCTCATTTTATGCAATGAAAAATAATCAATACAAACTAACAATAAACGTTCACTAAAGTTCCCGATTGAAGTATTTTAGAATTATTAAACACAATTTCGTGTAACTTATTTTTGCAAATAGATTCAATTTCATAAACTATTTGTTTTCATAAATCATCTGGATTTCCTCGAGGCTCTATTGTATTTGCTTTTCGCGTTTTGGAATGCTCGCATGGTGGACGTGTTTATTTTGGAAGATCAATAAAGAAGTGGGATAAAATAGATAATAATAATTTGCAGCTTCGGCTCTCGAAACGGTTGATTGGCACTTGGGTGGATGGGGGAGGCGAACGCTCCATTATCCGTAAGAGGATTTCCCATTCCCGTGTTCCGTGGGAGAAAAAAAAATATGGGGAGAATAATCCGGTCCCATTATTCTGGTGTGCGAGTTTTGTTGCCAGAGCGGCTCAGTTTTAATTGAATCCATCGATTTTCGTTTTCTTAATGTCACTGGGTTGTTGCGAAGCGCGACTTGTCCATCCATCCATCCATCCCTTACCAACTGCAGTTTATTCCAATCATTACTATACATTATCGGGAAACTTGTCTGCATAGATTTCAACAAATAACCAACATGAGGGAAAACACACAGAACTTCCTGTTCCCCCAATGACCTCACTTGCACGATTCATCATTTCCGTAACACACAAAAAAGTGTTAAGTATTCATGATTTACGTTTCACGTACATAAATCATTTTTTAACAGTATTTCAGAGAGAAAAAAAAACTTTGCCATGAAAATGATGAATTAAACTTCAAACAAGCATCAACTGTTCATGATAAAACTTTTATAGGAAAGTGGATTATTTCAAAATCTAATCTAATTATTACATACGTTTTGTATAACTCAATACAAATTATCTCATTGATAATCCAAAAACGTAAAACTGTATTTAAAATTAATGCATTATTTAAAATCTAGTCAATAATTTTTTCAAAACGAAACAGAAATAATATTGGAAACTTTAATCTATATATTATACTTTTTCGTTTCATTGATGTGTCAGACGTGATTGATTCCATTGACGGATTGTTATTTCTTTCATATATTTATTTTCTTCTTTTTTTTCGGAGAAGAGATTTGGTAGGAATTTTCGTTTCCGACGTCGTCGTCCGACGACGTTCCATGAATCAC